AGAATAAGTTTGTTTTAAATTGGTGTATCCACTTGTGCAGAATGAGGCAAAGTGTAAATGTCTAGTTTTGTAAAAAGGCCATGAGTGCCATGTGTTGATAGATCCATGAAATTAGAAAGATGTATGTCTAGGATGAAATGTAGTGGTTTATGTGGTCCCAAGTTAAGGACCTTCAGTTAATGTAGAGCAAGTGAGTGCTCCTTTTCTGATATAAGAAGAAATATTCCTCTGTAAAGTTTCTGCAGAGAGAAGAACAAGAAACCATTCATTTTCTCCAGCCTTTTGTTCATCGTTTGTTTTTTCTGTACAGCTCCATCTACATCAAAACACTCATTGATTCAAGTTACACTAACAGAAAGTGGGTGATACAATAGTCACAATATAGATTAAGACGGCTATAATTAGGGTTAGCGTTATAAAGTTTTGCTTTCGTGGGTATAATTGAAATCTGATGTTATCTCTAGTTTGGGTTATCTGCTAATTAATTAGGGTTAGGGTTAGGGTTAACGATAGACTTTAGAGGATTTCTTTTACAAGTTTGCTATCTCTAGTTGAACCAAAATTATCTCATTCAGCTACAGAATAATTGTTCCTTTTTTAACAAGTAGCGGATATATATTTAATTTTCTGACAGCATTTGACAGTGCATAATCCTTGAATGTGCAGCTAAAGATGAGAGTGATGGTAGAAAGAAAGCATCTAACTTAACCAATTGGCAATCGGTAGAAAGACCATCTTATATACTGCGGTGGAAGGCTCCCATGCACCGTGCAGAAGTAGGACCAAGTAGATCAGTGGACTTTGAAAGGTTGGTTTCAAGTTTCTTGCCAATACTGTAGATTGTCAAAGCAGACTTGTATTTAAATTTCATACACAATTTAATTACTCCTCCAATGCAGATTGTTTGCTCCCAAGTCTTCTGCATTTTCCAAACTGTGTTCTCTTAGCCACTGCCAAAATAAACTATAAACGCAAATTGCATGCTAACATAATCACAGATCATTCTTCACTGTTCATTATGTAAATATATATATGTGGATAATATTCGGGTACTCACTGGGAGTACCCAAATTACTGACCAAATGACATGAACCACTAAAAGTAGACCTGTCATTCGTGTCGTGTTTTCCGTGTTCGTGTCGTTTTTGTAACATCCCACATCGTCCAGGGGAGTGATCCTTAAATGTATATTCCCATCCCTACCTAGCACGAGGCCTTTTGGGAGCTCACTAGCTTCGGGTTCCATCGAAACTCCGAAGTTAAGCGAGTAGTGTGCGAGAGCACTCCCATGATGGGTGACCCACTGGCAAGTTGCTCGTGAGTTCCCAAAAACAAAACTGTGAGGGAATGGTAAAGCCCAAAGCGGAACAAAAACTTTGAGGGAATGGTAAGCCCAAAGCGGACAATATCGTGCTACGGTGGTGGAGCAGGTCCGTGAAGTAATTTGCCCCGGGCCGGGATGTGACAGTTTTTGTGTTATACCTGATATCTTAACGGGTCGTGTCGTGCAACACCCGTTAAAATAAACAGGTAAAATGACCCGACCCAAAATCGACCCAATAATATTAACGGGTAATATGACCCGACCCGTTACCCGTTAAGGAAAATATATTTTAAACCAATAAATAATCAAATGAAAAACATAATACTAAATAAGTATATACATACCATATTGTCACATCCAAAACATAAAAACACAATTTTCTTTTAAGTATATTTTCACTTACCTAAAGTCTTTAATAGTTTTTTAATTAATGTAGAAGTGTAAAAAAAAATAGAAAAAATATATAAATGCTCGTAATGACAAGCTTTAGAACTTTTATGAAGAGCTTAACTTTGAAATTCGCCACTATAATCATATAAATCATAGATAAAAATTTAACTGTTGATTGTTGTTTACATTTACACTTCATTGTTCTCATCAAATTTTGTTTTTTCATATTTGATTTTTTGAAAACTTGATCTATTAGAGGATGCAAGAAGATGAATGATTTGGATCGTTAATATTATATTAAGAGTTTTATGGTTAGTGAAAATATTGCTTGATGTTTATAAAGTTTCTACAAACTATTGACATCGACTCATATTTCATTTAATCGTAAATATTGAAACGTGATATCAAAGATCTAAACCGTTCATCTACTTACATCTGCCAGATGATCATGTTTTCAAAAAAGAAAATTTAAAAAATGAAATTCAGTAAGAAGAATAAAACGTAAATGACAATCGACGGTTAAATATAAATTTAAGGTTTATGAATTATAGTGTTAGATTTCGAAGCTGACCCCTTCATGAAAGTTGTAAAATTTGTCACTATGAGTGATTGTATATTTTTTACACTTCTACAATAATTATTATTAATTATTATTAATTTTTCTCTCAAATAAAAAAGCATTATTTATGAAGGGTTGGAGGATTTTAAAAATCTAAACGATAATGTAAATGTAACCATTATCTATTCGTGGAGGAATAATGATGAATCACGAGTATTTATATATTCTTTCACATTTTTCATACTTGTATGTATGTCTTCTTAGTTCTTGCCTATACAAATACTATATTAGTTTATTTTAATTTTGGACAACAACATGTTAAGTAAAATTTATCCTAGTAATGATAATAAGGAACTCTCATAATAAAAATACATAATGACAAATTTAAAAAAAAAAAACTTATATAGAATAATAATACAAAACTATATATTTAATATAGAATATATTGTATATATTAATATGGCTATTGTATTTTATAATAAATCTTTTAGTAATTAAATTTTAAAATTATCAAAATAATTTTTTTCTTATCTGGTCGAAACAGGTTACCCACGTGTTACCCGCGTGTATACCCGTTATTAACGGGTTTTTAACGGGTCACCCGATAATGACCCGAAACCCGTTATTTTCGTGTCATTTTCGTATCGTGTCAGAAACTGCCGGGTCTAACTAAAAGTTTAACTGTTGTAAATTTATTTTAAGGAAATACTAAACGACCTTGCACATTCATATAAATTTAGAAACTCGTGTTCTCCTAACAACGTAGAAAGTACTCCAATCGTCCCCTTCCCTCTCGCTCAGACTACCATCCACCCAGACTGATCACGGCGAACTCCGATCCACGATGACCTCCGATCAATGACGACCAGCGGCAAAATCGAATTAATAGAAGAGCCAGACAAATCTTGAAAAATTAAAGGTCTTTATTCTCGCTCTCAGATTATTACCAGCCATCGGCTAACTTAAAGCAACGACGAATAATGACATATAATCAGGTGTTTGTACATGAATATTTTAGGGTTGTCTTATTTGGATTTTTTTAATTTTTTTTAATTTTATATTTGGTTGTGGTGCTTCTGCTCAATCCACTAATTCAACAAAGTTATTGCCTATTATATTCTCTACAATTAGCAGTTATTTCGGATAAATGCTGCTTATTCCAATTTGGATATGAAAATTGTGTAGCGATAGCTGGACATGCCCAGAATGTTGGCATATATTACGATAATGATTCTGAGCCGATAAGATTTTTCAAATTGGAATATCATAGACCAAATGCGTCTTCTTAATGATGATTATCGAACCAAAACCTAGTTAATTTATAGTTGGTAGCAAATTCTCATTTTTGGGTCCACGATAATTAGTTAAATACACTACTTCAAGTTTTAGTAATCTGAAATAGTAATCCAGATTACAAAAGGTATAAGATTGCAAAGACTTGTTGGAAAAAAAAAAGTAAAAGTACAAGATTATGCGAGATTAGCTCCTCAGGGAGGATCACTAGATGCAATCATGCATCCACACTATCCTGAAGGAAGAGAACCAACATTTATGGGTGCCCCCGCACGTCCCCGGCCTATATTGCAGAGATATTATACTCATAATGTTCCCATCAACTTACAGTTTATTTCAAATAGAGGGGATAAAGCAATAGAACTATATGTTGGACCTCCTTCAAACCAGCTATGCAGGAACTTGTATTGCTCTTCTACTTGCTGATCCAATTGGTAGATTCTGTTGATGAGTTCTCGGAAGCCACTAGCTAGCATTCCAACTTCCGTTGTGTCCTCTGTCGCACTGCCTTTAACTATACGCGCTCCAGTGAATCAGTCTCAGAAAACAATCTCGTCGACATTGTCTGAGGTTTGTCAATTTCCAACAACTTTGCAGGCCTCAGTTTCCTTTTGTTACCAAAAGCAGTCGTAGTAGCATTATATAAACCGCTAAGTACATGTTTACTAAAGCCGTTCCATTTGATTATCATCGCTATCACTTCAAGTAGTACATCTAACCATTATCAGTGATCTATATTTTTAGTTTCCTGTAAGAATATGAGCAGTGGGATGAGTCTGTATTTAGTTTGAATTCAAGATTTAATAGGAAGTCTCATTGGGAATGGATTTGTAATCCATATTGTTCTGGAATGATTAAGGAACAGAGATACTAAACCACTGTTGGATAGGAATCAGTTTTCTATATGAATTTTAATAGGGAAATCCTTATAGAATTTGGCTAAGATTATGTTGTATATATAGTGGCCTCTGCTCTCGCAGTTTGTACGCTCTATTATCAGGACTAAGACCTATTATTAGTTAAGAGTTTTGATTACTGAAGAGAGGAGAAGGCATACTGTGGTTTTATTGCTGAATTCGAATATGGCTGCTTTTTCGGGTTTATCTTCGGGTATGTTTTTCTTCATATATTAGTTTAATGAACAATGACTTGTGTTTTGATAACAGTAGCTCAGATAACTCGTTCTTGGTTTATGTTTTCTCTAACATGTGGTATCAGAGCCATGATTACATGTTTATGAATTATGTTATTAAAATCAATGGGTGCGAAAGCTTCAATAAATTATGAATAAATATGCCTTATGTTGCGATCCAGAGGAATCGAACTCGGGTTTTGGTATTGAGTTTTTGTAAATAACGACAAAACGGGTTTTTAAAATATTATCGTTTAAATTTTCCAAAAAGACCTTTTTTCGTTGGAATACCTGCAAAACTATTGGTTGGGGTTCTCTCCCCAAATTGGGGTTTTGGATTACAGAAGGCATTCATCTAGTTTGTTCTGGGTTTTCTCCCATAGATCACTAAACTGGTATTTTCAATTTGGATGATTATCTCTGCTGCGCTATTTCAAATTGAAACCCTTTGCAGAGGTATGTTTGATGATTTATGTTGATTTATCAGTGTTAGCATACTTATTTTGATGCATAGGTTAAATCGAGGTTTTCTGTTTGGGTTTATGAAATTAAAAGAAAAAAAAATCATTATGCATGAAATGTCTATTGGTTGTCTATTGTTGCATATTTCACCTGTTCAGTCAGTTTTTCTATGTATGCTTATCAGCTATTAGTTGTTAAGTCTATATGTATGAATTATTGATGTAAGTTATGATATGCAATTTGCAAAAGGAAATCAGGAACCTAATTAGTTCATGTTTGTGATTTCATCTTCAGTATCTGCAATATCATTGAAAACTTTGAACTTGGCCAACATCCCAATTCTCACTGGAGGAAGTAATTACAAGAAGTGGAGACGCGACATTGGATTGCTGCTGACTATCAATGAATATGACATTGCCATTGATACTCCGAAACCAACAATCACAGACCAGAGTACTAGAGCAGAGAAAGCAGATCATGAATGATGGATGAGAGCCAACAAGGTGGCACTTTCCATCCTGGAAAGTGGCATGACTGATACAGTTCTGGGGGCATCAAAAGACATGAATTAGCTGCTGAATATTTGAGTGCAATTGAGAAGAAATTCAAGGAGTCTCAGAAGGCTGAAATTAGCCAATACATGGCCTTACTGACAACCTATAAGATTGATAGTACTGGTTCCATTCGAGACCACATAATGAAGATGGCCGATGCTGCTGAGAAATTGAACTCATTGGATGTCCATATTGGAGAAAAACATTTGGTTTTTATGATCCTCCAGGCGCTTCCAATCAAATATTCTCAACTGAAGGTGTCTTATAATACACAAGACAAGAGTTGAGATATAGATGAGCTTATCACACAATGTGTTCAAGAGGAAACTCGGCAAAAGCAAGAAAAAGGCAAGGATGTTGAGACTGTGAATTTCGTGCAAGGAGGAAAAGGGAAGAAGTTCTCAAATCCTAGAAACATCTCAGGTAAATTCTCTAAACCTGCCAAGAATTATGATAAGTTTGATGCATCTGCTAAAGTATTTGAATCTTCTAAAGGATCTAACAATCTTAAACCTAAAACTAAAAACGTTGCTAAATTCAAGTGTTTTTTCTGCAAAACTCAAGGTCATTTAAGAAAGGAATGTGAAATGTTTAAGGATTATCTGAGAGTTAATGGGAAAGAAATAGTTAATGTCTGTGTTGAGTCAAACTTGATTGAAGTTCCATTTAATTCTTGGTGGTTTGATATTGGTTGCACAGTGCACATAACTAATTCACTGCATGGTTTTGAAAAACAAAAGCAATGTGTTTTCAACTATTTTAATGTTTTTGTGGGGGAAGGGACAAAAGTTGTAGTTGAAGCTGTTGGAAAAGTAAAATTGAAATTGTCTTCAGGTTTTGTTTTGGAATTAAATGATGTACTTTATGTGCCAAAGATGAGAAGAAATTTGATTTCAGCCTCTAAACTTGTGAAAAATGGTTTTTCCTTTTTGGGTGATGATGAGTATTTGAAATTTTTTCAAAAGAACTGTTTTGACTCTATTTTAGGGACTGCAATTTTGGTTGAAAATATGTGGCAATTAGAGTGCACTGTGATTTTTAATGAACATTATGTTTTGAACACAAGCACTAAAAGAATGCTAAACACTGACACTCCTTACATTCTATGGCACAAAAGACTTGGGGATATTTCAAAGGACAGAATTTCAAAGTTGTCAAAATTAAACTTGATCCCACAACTTAACTTTTCTGATGCAACTGATTGTGTTGATTGTTACATAGGAAAATTAACTAACTTTTGAAATTTTGAGGCCAAAAGAAGTCAAAGGTTACTTGAAATCATTCATACAGATGTTTGTGGCCCTTTTCCAACAAAAACAATTTGTGGAAACAGTTACTTTGTTAATTTTATTGATGGTTTTTCAAGGTTTGGTTACACATTTCTCATAAGTGAAAAGTCAGCTGTCCTTAAATGCTTCAAAATCTTTAAGACTGAGGAAGAAAAACAATTAAGTAAAACCATTAAGATTGTTAGATCAGATAAGGGAGGAGAATATTTTGGCAGGTACACAGAGGCTGGACAACAAAAGGGTTCCTTTGCTCTTTACCTTGAAGAGCAAGGCATTGTGGCTCAATACACAACTCTCGGCACACCCCAGCAAAACGGAGTATCAGAAAGAAAAAACAGGACTCTAATTGGAATGGTGAGAAGTATGATGTCAAGATCCAAGCTGCCAGGGTTCTTATGAGGATAAGCACTTAAAACTACAAATTACATACTTAACAGGGTCCCGAGCAAGTCCGTTTCAACAACATCTTTCGAGATTTGGTATGGAAGGGTGCCTAGTTTTGGGCATTTCCACATTTGGGGATGCAAGGCAGAAGCTAGGTTCTATAATCCTGAAGAAAGGAAGTTGGATTCAAGGACAAAATCTTGTTATTTTGTCGGGTACTCAGAAAAATCAAAAGGGTTTAAGTTTTATTCCCCACAAGCTCACACTAGAATCAAGGAAACACACAATGCAAGATTCCTTGAAGATCAAGATGTATCCGATTTCACCATTGAAAACTTTATTTTTGAAGAAACTGAACAGTTATAGACAGAAGTGCCCTTAAATGAATCATGTCCAGGTTTAGTTTTTCCCCAATCTAAGGATCAAAACGTTGAGCATCAAGAAGAACTTGATCAAGTAGAAGATCAACAAGGTGACACTCAAATGGAGACTACAACAGATTTGCAAGCCACAGATCCTATAGATCAACAAGTTGATGTGCAAGTTCATACTGAAACCAGAAGATCCACAAGGATGAAAAACCTGCAATTTCAAGTGATTTCCTTTGTTATCTTCAAGAAACTGATTATAACTTTGGTGACATTGATGATCCGGTCACCTACTCAGATGCTATAAAGAGTTCGCAATCATTCTTATGGAATAATGCTATGAAAGACGAGTTGGAATCAATGTTCAAGAACCAGGTTTGGTCGTTGGTGGAGCCAAAGTCTCATGTCAAACCTATAGGGTGCAGATGGGTATATAAAACCAAAAGAAATGCATGTGGGCAGATTGAGAGGTACAAAGCACGATTAGTGGCTAAGGGATTCACTCAGAGAGGGTATTGACTACAATGATACCTTTTCTCCTGTGTCTTCGAAGGATTCAATGAGGATCATTATGGCTATCACTGCACATTTTGACTTAGAATTACATCAAATGGATGTCAAGACAGTCTTTCTAAATGGTGACCTCCAAGAAGATATCTATATGTGCAGCCCACTGGATTTATTGAAAAGGGGAAATAGCATATGGTTTGCAAACTGAATAAATCAATCTATGGTCTCAAACAAGCTTCAAGGCAATGGTATCTTAAATTTGATTAGGTGGTTACATCACATGGTTTTATTGAAAATAAATTGGATGATTGCATCTATCTAAAATTCAGTGGATCAAATTTTATAATTTTGGTGTTGTATGTTGATGATATTTTGCTTGCCAGCTCAAGTGTTCATCTTTTGAAGGAAACCAAGTCTATGCTTAGTGCAAATTTTGAGATGAAGGATCTTGGTGAAGCACATTTTGTGTTAGGGATTGAAATCACAAGGGACAGAAATAGAAAGTTGTTGGGATTATCACAGAAAGGATACATTGAAAGGGTTTTAACTAGGTTCAACATGGAGAACTGCAATGGATGCCAAGTACCTGTGAACAAAGGTGATCGATTCTCTAAAGATCAGAGTCGTAAACTGAGCTTGAAGTCAAGAGAATGGCTTAGAAGCCATACGCATCTTTGGTTGGAAGCTTGATGTATGCAAATGCTTGTACAAGACCTGATATTGCCTACATTGTAGGAATTTTGGGTAGATTTCAATCAAATCCAAGAGAAGCCCATTGGAATGCTGCCAAGAAAGTTCTACGGTATCTGCAAAGAACTAAAAGCTACATGCTTGTGTATGGCAGAGATAAAGGACTTGAAATTTCAGGATACATTAATTCTGATTTGGCAGGAGATTTAGACGAGAGGAAATCGACTGGTGGTTATGTTTTCTTACTTGGTGGAGGTGCAATCTCATGGAAAAGTGCTAAACAAACTATCATTGCAACTTCGACTATGAAGGCAGAATTTGTGGCATGTTTTGAGGGAATGAAACAGACTGTGTGGTTGAAGAATTTTGTGTCAGAACTAAAAGTTATAAGATCGATACAAAAACCTTTGAGACTGTATTGTGATAATAGCTCTGCAGTTTTCTTTGCAAAGAATAACAAGAGAAGTTTTCTTTGCATCAAGACTAATGGATGTTAAATTTCTTAAGGTCAGAGAGAAAGTTAAGGAAGGAACCATCGATGTGCAACATTTGAATACAAGCATGATGGTTGCAGATCCTTTTACCAAGACACTGATAGTTGGAATATTTAAGCTGCAAGTTTCTCGGATGGGGATACTTGAAGTTTTTTATTAGTGGGAGTGATCTTAAGTGAAGAATTGAAGATAGCTATTGGAGCTTGGGACCTTGCCGATGTTGCTGCTATTATGGTTCAAGTGAAGCTAAGTTATTCAGTTTTTTTTTTTTAGCTAGTTTATTGTTAGCTAGATTGGTTTTTATTTTATGTTCGATCTTTCCAAAAATACTGTGATTGATTGGTCTGAGAAATAAATAGTTGAAACTTAATTCAGTTTGATGTTCTGAGGATCACTTTGTGATATGACTCGGACAATTGGTTGAATTAAAGTTATATTGTTCATTAGTTTTAATGAATTTCTGATTGGTATTTATATTATCTATGTTAAATAGTGGGAGTAGACATTTTAAGGTTTGCTGGTATCAATCTGATCATAATGTTATAAATGCAGATTGGATATATGTGATCTTAGAATAGCAATTGCATAGTTCAGTGTGGTTGTGAATTCTTTGGTTCTATATTTTGAAATGCATAGGTAGATTGTTTATGATGCATACCCAAAAGACTTAGTGATCACCCTATTAACAGACTTGAATGAACTGAGTTGCAGTTTTCATACTTGCTCAAGTGGGAGAATGTAAGAATATGAGCAGTGGGATGAGTCTGTATTTAGTTTTGAATTCAAGATTTAATAGGAAGTCTCATTGGGAATGGATTTGTAATCCATATTGTTTTGGAATGATTAAGGAACAGAGATGCTAAACCACTGTTGGATAGGAATCAGTTTTCTATATGGATTTTAATAGGGAAATCCTTATAGAATTTGGCTAAGATTATGTTGTATATATAGTGGCCTCTGCTCTCGCAGTTTGTACGCTCTATTATCAGGACTAAAACCTATTATTAGTTAAGAGTTTTGATTACTGAAGAGAGGAGAAGGCACACTGTGGTTTTATTGCTGAATTCGAATATGGCTGCTTTTTCGGGTTCATCTTCAGGTATGTTTTTCTTCATATATTAGTTTAATGAACAATGACTCGTGTTTTGATAACAGTAGCTCATATAACTCGTTCTTGGTTTATGTTTTCTCTAACATTTCCAACTCTAAAAATTAAGAAAATTCTAATGTTTGAATTTCTTGGTGCAGTTATATGTAATGGTGACATTGAATAATCTACCCTGCCTAACAGTTTCTTGGCCATTGTTTACATAAAGGGATGACATGGGACTTGTCATCCGATGAGGTGCTGTTTCTAGCCTTGTTTGCATTGTTATGGGTGCCCTCACCAGCTGCCGCACGATTTTGCCTCTTTGGACGTCGTTAGTAGCTGTCCCACTGTATCCCTTGTCCCTCGTATTAGCTTATTATGTCTTGCGTTATTTTTTGGGCTGGACTGGACATAGCCATAGCCTCAAGGAACACGATGAAAAAGAAGTTGAGAAGACACTCCTTGGCTACTCTAGAACATAATTGTTTGGGAGGAACTGCTCATCATGTTGTGGGTTTTGTTTCAAGTTCTAAATGGTATAGTCTATAGACATATACCTAAGTTGTATATAAGAAGGGAACTGTTATTAGCACTTCAAATATCTCATTCTACACTCCTCATAGAGTCACAAGTGTATTTTTCTTTCTAATTATAGAAACTTTGGAGTGTCAAATGAGATTTTTGGAATGGTAATAACAATTCCCTATAAGAAAGACATATAATTTATTTTCGTATGTTTATGATCTTAATCAAAAGGCTCATCTCCCTTGACTGTTTTGCTCAAAACTAACTAATATCATTCTTCTTCGTTATTGTGTCTCCCCTACCTCTTGGTCATTCCTTCTGTGCTCGTTTGGTGCTTAGAGTCAAATTATATTGGAGTGGATAACTTATTATATTCAGGGTATTGGATAACTCATTATATTCAGGGCATGTTGTAGAGAGAAATGGATAAAGTTTATTCCACTTAAAGGTAGAAATTGGATCACTCATGAGAAAAATTATGTCTTCCAATCTTCAAGGTTAAGTTTACTTCACGTCTAATTCCTTCGAAATATTAATATCATCAAAATGAAAAACCGTTCATGTCTACTTTCGAGCTCAATTTATAGTGAATGAAATTATATGTTAGATGTTGAACAAAAAAAAAAAAAAAAAAAAGAAAAAAGGAAATTACATGTTATATTAACTTTGACTTTGGAAATCATGATGAATCTACTTATTAGGTACATGAATAATGTTTTTATTAAAAAATATATTAGGATGGAATAATCTTTTTTTCAAACAACGACTAGCAATGCAACTTTGACTAATTTTTTGTTCTTATAATTGTTTGTAATCTATCTTTATTTTTGGAAACATATTAGAACTAATAATTCAAAGCCAAATGTTACTTAGTACTACAGTCTAGTGATATTCATTTTCATTTGTAAGCAAAGGCGAATTTGAACTAATAATCCAAAGGCAAATTTGAACCAAGTTATTGCTAACTGTGAGGCTAGATCAAGATTTAGGTTCGAATCTCGCTGTTAGCATTCTTCGCTAAATGTGCATTGATCTTGAGATTGGGTAGCCTCCCACCCCTTTGATGGAACCCATTTGGTAGAAGAAGAAATGAAAAATATAAAGAAAATAAGAAATAAATAACAATATGTTTTCATTATTGCATATTAATACAACACAACTAAGCAAATGGGCTACAACCCATGGACCTTTGACAAATGGGCCCACAATGACCCAATTACTCATTATATATGCTAGCTCGTTAATATTGTCCAAAGTTCTAACTGTGAGGTTCTAAAGGTAAAAGAGTCTCACATCATAAAAAAAGAAATGTTGCAAGATCTTATAAAAAGTTGGGCTACTCACTATATTGACAATAGTTTTTTAGTGGAACCCCAATTTTCTTTCTAGTGTCAGAGCAGGTTGGCTCACGTGTAGAGTCCAATAGCCACAGGTGTTGCATGTCACCCAGTTCGTATTATGTGTGGGGCTTAAAAATTCGCCACATGTGAGAAGTGTGTGAGGATGTGAAGGTAAAACAATCTCACGTAAATAAAAGAAACCTTACAAAGATTTATAAAAGGCAATAAAAGAAACTCCAATATGCTTCACTATAATACTTGTGGAACCAATTAAGTTTGTGGTGAAACTCCAACTTGCGGAACCAATAGACGTGTGGAACCAATAGATTGTTTTAGAACTAATAATTAAGAAATTTTGCAATACGCCGTGCCGAAGTTTTCATCGTTCTCAACTTGGACCTAGAAACGATGAAGAAGACACGTATGACTGTTACTAGGAAGATCCCGATCGTACGAGTAGCCATATGGCGAACAATAGTTCCGTACACGCTTGAAATGGGACAAAAAACTTAAATGGGCATTACACATCATTATGCAGTGTAGCTGCAATAACCAAATGTAATGCAGAGGTAAAGGCTGAACAAATGTAAAACTGATATCTATTACTTGCGATGTTTCATGAAGTTTTATAAATTGGCGGGGTAGTTGTTTTATTACTATTGTAAATTCCCTAATCATTTTGAAAATGCTTTACAACTCAAGGCAACAAAGTGAAGTAGTAACAAGGCATTAATGCAAATACATTGAAATTTTATTCTAGCTCATGAAACATCCCACAAATTTGTTAGCCCTAGAGATGTTAAATTCTCTATTTAAGATGGAGAAGAAGGTGGTGCCACGGAATTTACAAGTACAATGATTAAATAGTCGGTCAGCCCTGGCTTGAATGACAGTTCTATTCCCGGTGTGTTCATAAGTAAATGTGCTGTTCACGAAAACATTATGGCACCATCTTCCCAACGCCACAAGGGCCCGACAACTAAAGTCATCAATTTTCTTCCCTTTGAAAATATAGTTGTAGACGTCGAATGCATACTTTATGCTGAAATGTTTTTTGCACTCAACCACGGCCGGCGAGTCATCTAGATGCGCCATCGTTGGAAGTGCACAACTCACCAAAAGCAAAATAATCACAATTGGACACATGTTTAGTCCGGCCATATTGGTGGAAAGAATTAGTAGATTTTGATTTTCTTAGAAAATGATCGCTTAGATGCAGTTGAACTTTGACGAAAGGTGTTCTACACTTATAAGGGATGAGGCAAAGCTGCGAGTTATTTGTAAAACGAAAAACGCATTTTCATTTAAAACTACTTTAGCAACGTATTTACTAATGTGAGGTATCAAATACGATGGTTTCTAATTTGGTATTTATTTTGGTACGATAAACGCAACTTACAAGTTCCCATAAATTGTTTAATTAATCTCAACAATCACATAACTATTTATTATTTCGCACAAAAAACTTGTTCGTTTATTACAAATAGAATTGCAGTGTGTTGAGTGACGCGGTTACGTGAAAAAGAGACGGCAAGTAGGAAAAAGATGCGACTAGCCTTAATTGTTCCTGCAGTAAATGGACAAATGTATTTCTCTGCATTATTATTCAATACTTTCAAAACGAAAATGGGACAAAAGAGATTAATTTTGTTAAGAAGTGAAGAACTGTTGAAGTACAATAATTAAGTAAATGAGCACTCCTTCCTTGGTAAACTCATTTTAGCAAAATATTATATCACACTCTATTGCATGGTGGTACAGTACTCATGCCAGAATATAATGTTAACGAGCTGTTGCAATAATATGATGAAGTTCCAAATCCTTCAAATCCCTAGTTTTGGTTATTCAGACCAAAGACAAAAGGATTTAAAAAAGGGAATTTAACGAAAAGCCAACTTTACTGTTCCACTTTAAAAAGAAAACCAAATTTTTACACTAAAAAGTCAATCCTGGTACAATTAAATTTTAAGCCTTTTCATCATTATCATTAAAAAAAAAAGATAGCGATACGAGGTGTGCATACCGAACACATACTTTTACAAAGTGTAGCATGTGCGTAACAACTTAACCAAAGGCCAATAGGAGTCATCAGAGTCTTTCATACGCCTATTTGAACGTCATTTTGGTAAGAAATTTTTGAATACGCTGTGCCGAAGTTTTCATCGTTCTCAACTTGGACCTGGAAACGATGAAGAAGACACGTATGACTGTTAGAAGATCCGATCGTACAGTAGCCATATGGCGAACAAATAGTTCCCGTACACGCTTTGAAATGGACAAAAACTTAAAATGGGATTACATCATTATGCCAGTGTAAAGCTGCATAACAAATGCAGAGATAAGGCGAACATTTGTAAAACTGATATTATTAATTGCGATGTTTTCAATGAAGTTAATAATTGGAAGTTGTTTTATTACTTGTAAATTCAATCATTTTGAAAATTGACAATTTTTTAATTCATGAATTTTTATGAATGAAACATCCCCACAAATTTGGTTAGCCTAGAGATGTTAAATTCTCTATTCGATGAAGAAGGTGGTGCACGGAATTTACAAGTATACATGATTAAATAGTCGGTCAGCTGGCTTGAAATGACAGTTCTGTTCCCGGTGTGTTCATAAGTAAATGTGCTGTTCACCATCTTCCCAACGCAACAAGGCCCGACAACTAAAGTCATCAATTTTCTTTTGAATAATTTGAAAATAATATCGAATGCATACTTTATGCTGAAATGTTTTTGCAACTCAATCACGGCCGGCAGTCATCTAGATGCGCCCGTTGGAAGTGCGCAACTCACCAAAGAAAAATATAACCACAATTGGACACATGTTTAGTCCCCATATTGGTGGAAAGAATTTGTAGCTTTTGATTTTTAGAAAAATGCTAGATGCAGTTGAATTTTGAAGAAAGGTGTTAACACTTATAAGGATGAGGCAAAGCTTGCGAGTTATTTGTAAAACAAAAACGCATTTTTTAATTTTTAAACTACTTAGCAACGTAAGTTACTGATGTGAGGTATCAAATACGAGGGTTTCTAATAATTGTTTAATTTTGGTATTAACCGCAACTTACAAGTTCTCATAAATTGTTGTAAATTAATCTAACACTATAGTACTTTAAAAGAATTGTTTGTAAATTCGTACTTACTAGTTTGATTTGCAGAAATCGGGAAAGGGAAATTTAGCACGGCGTGTTTAGTGACCTCGTTATTGGGAAAAAGACGGCAAGTAGGAAAAAAAGAATTACTAGCCTTAATTTGGTTCTGCAGTAAAATGGAAAACAATTTCTCTTATTATAAATTCCTACTGTATCTTCAAAAATGGACAAAGAGAGATTAAATTTGTTTCGAAGTGAAGAACTGTTGAAATTACAATAGGATTGAAGAACGAAAGTTATTATAATACTATATACAGATTTTGAAATTGTTATACAATTTATTAAGGATTCATAAATACTTTTTTTTAAAGGATTTTTTTTCTTTCGAAGGGAAAAGTTCCTGAGAGATCGACATCTTTCAAGGACGTTACGTTCGACCTGAGAATCGCTGGCAGTTTTTTTAGTATAGCAGATATTATTGGATTATTCTTGAATATGTGTTGAATCGTTTGAATATTATTTTATCAATTTTGATTATATATAACTTCTTCCTTTAACATCATTGGTGGAATTACAATTTTATCAAAATTTAAAAAGAAGGAATTAGTTTTTGACAAAAGATTTCGTCAAAAAAAAAAAAAGGGTTTGGCGCAACGGTCCTCTTGCAAGGGAACTTTTGCACGTGACGGGGTAAGCCGATCCAGGAAGTTGGGCTCAGGCCACTATTGGCTCGACGTAGTCTTGCGTCGCGCGAAGAACATGCTTTGCACAACATATGGATACGCACCAAGATGTCCTTGTGCACTTTGAAGACGTACGTCGTGTAAAGTTTGCTTGCACGACTCAGGGCCATACGTCATGCAAGGTTGCCTTGGACGCGACGCGGACTAGGTCGTCGAGCAAACAGTGGCCTTGCGCGATGCAGGCTACGTCTGCAAAGTTGCCTTGCGCGACGCAGGTACGTCGTGCAACCGTTGGTCGAGCAAATCTAGCATCACCGACTTGGCGCCGACGGGTTTTGTGCGACGAAGGTACGTCACGCAAACCCTTGCGCAACGATTTTGGACTTTGCACGACGAAGGTACCTACGTCGCGCAAAGTGTTTTTTCTACTAGTGGCACTTCCAACGATGGCGCATCTAGATGATCGCACGGCCGTGGTTGAGGCAAAAAAATTTTCAGCATAAAGTAGCATTCGACGTCTACAACTATATTTTTCAAAGGAAGAAAATTGATGACTTTAAGTTGTCGGGCCCTTTTGGCGTTGGGAAGATGGTGCCATAATGTTTTCGTGAACAGCACATTTACTTATGAACACACCGGGAACAGTATTGTCATTCAAGCAAAGGCTGACCGACTATTTAATCATTGTATAATTGTAAATTCCGTGGCACCACCTTCTTCTCTATCTTAAATAGAGAATTTAACATCTCTAGGGCTAACAAATTTGTGGGATGTTTCATGAGCTAGAATAAAATTTCAATGTATTCGCATTAATGCCTTGTTACTACTTCACTTTGTTGCCTTGAGTTGTAAAGCATTTTCAAAATGATTGGGGAATTTACAATAGTAATAACACAACTACCCCGCCAATTTATAAAACTTCATGAAACATCGTAAGTAATAGATATCAGTTTTACATTTGTTCGGCCCTTATCCCTGCATTACGTTTGCTTATTGCAGCTACACTGCATAATGATGTGTAATGCCCATTTAAGTTTTTTGTCCCATTTCAAGCGTGTACGGAACTAATGTTCGCCATATGGCTACTCGTATGATCGCGATCTTCCTAGTAACAGTCATACGTGTCTTCTTCATCGTTTCCGAGTCCAAGTTGAGATAGATGAAAACTTCGGCACGGCGTATTGCAAAAAATTCTTACAAAATGACGTTCAAATAGGCGTATGAAAGACTCTTGATTGACTCCTGGCCTTTTGGTTGAAGTTGTTACGCATATGCTACACTTTGTAAAAGTGTGTTCGTTATGCACACCTCCGTATCTTTTTTTAAATCCTTTTGTCTTTGGTCTGAATAACCAAAACTAGGATATTTGTTGAATGTTTTGGAACTTATCATTTATGCAACAGTAGCTCGTTAACATTATATTCGGACGTGTAGGGCATGAGCACTGTACCATGCGCAATAGAGTGTGATATAATATTTGTGCTAAAATGAGTTTACCAAGAAATGAGTGCTCATTTACTTAATCTATTTTACTTCAACAGTTCTTCACTTCTTAACAAATTTAATCTCTTTTGTCCCATTTTCGTTTTGATAAAGTAGGAATAATAATGTAGAGAAATACATTTGTCCATTTACTGCAGAACAATTAAGGCTAGTCGCATTCTTTTTCCTACTTGCCGTCTCTTTTTCACGTAACGATGGTCACTAACACGACATGCAAGTTCAGTTCACGATTTCTGCAATTCTATTGTAATAAACTAGTTAGTGTACAAATTTACAAACAAGTAATTTTTGTGGGAAATAATAAATAGTTATGTGATTGTTGAGATTAATTAAACAATTTATGGAACTTGTTAAGTTGCGTTTATCGTACAAATAATAATACCAAATTAGAAACCCTCGTATTTGATACCTCACATCAGTAAATACGTTGCTAAAGTGTTTTAAATGAAAATGCGTTTTCGTTTTACAAATAACTCGCAGCTTTGCTTATCATCCCTTATAAGTGTAGAACACCCTCGTCAATCAAAGTTCAACTGCATCTAAGCGATCATTTTCTAAGAAAATCAAAAGCTACTAATTCTTTCCACCAATATGGCCGGACTAAACATGTGTCCATTGTTGGTTATTTTGCTTTTTTTTGCGCACTTGAACGATGGCGGCATCTAGATGACTCGCCGGCGTGGTTGAGTGCAAAAAAACATTTCAGCATAAGTATGCATTCGACTCTACAACTATATTTTTCAAAGGAAAGAAAATTGATGACTTTAGTAGTTTGTGGCGGGGAGAGCGGTTGGCCTTTGTGTTGATAGTTTTTAAACAGGAATGTATTTGGGCTGACCGACTATTTTAATCATTGTAACTTGTAAATTTCGTGGCACCTCCTTCCCTATTTAATCCTAAATGCCCTATTTTAAATTTGTTACATTCTCTAAATAGGAATAACTAACGAATTTGTGGGATGTTTCATGAGCTAGAATAAATTTCAATGTATTTGCATTAATGCCTTGTTACTACTTCACTTTGTTTGCCTTGAGTTGTAAAGCATTTTCAAAATGATTGGGAAATTTACAATGTAATAACAAACTACCCCCCGCCAATTTATAAAAACTTCATGAAACATTCGCAAGTAATAGATATCGTTTTATACATTGGTTCGGCTTTACCCCTGCATGCTTACGTTTTGGTTATTGCAGCTACACTGCATAATGATTGTGTAATGCCCATTTAAGTTTTTGTCCATTTCAAGCGCGTGTACGGAACTATTGTTCGCCATATGGTTTACTCGTACGATCGCGATCTTTAGTAACAGTCATACGTGTCTTCTTCATCGTTTCCGAGTCCAAGTTGAGAAAAGATGAAAACTTCGGCACGGCGTATTGCAAAATATTCTTACAAAATGACTGAAACTTCAATATAGGCGTAATGAAGATCTCTTGACTTGGCCTTTAATTGTTTTGGTTATAAAAGTAGGACATAACATTCTATTAGTTTGTAAGTGTGTTGTCGTTATGCCAACCTCTCTATCTTTTTTTAATCTTTTGCATTTTGGTCTGAATAATAACCAAAAATTAGTATTTGCTTGTTTAATTTTTAATAGCAACTGTACATTAATATTGTCTCTTTTTCCAACAAACGTGTACCACGAAGCAAGAGTGCTCATTTACTCTGAATTTCACGTACGATGGTACAACAAGAACCAAGTAATTTCATTTTCCTACTTGCCGTCTCTTTTTCACGTAACGATGGTCACTAACACGACATGCAAGTTCAGTTCACGATTTCTGCAATTCTATTGTAATAAACTAGTTAGTGTACAAATTTACAAACAAGTAATTTTTGTGGGAAATAATAAATAGTTATGTGATTGTTGAGATTAATTAAACAATTTATGGGAACTTGTAAGTTGCGTTTATCGTACCAAAATAAATACCAAATTAGAAACCCTCGTATTTGATACCTCACATCAGTAAATACGTTGCTAAAGTAGTTTTAAATGAAAATGCGTTTTTCGTTTTACAAATAACTCGCAGCTTTGCCTCATCCCTTATAAGTGTAGAACACCCTTCGTCAAAGTTCAACTGCATCTAAGCGATCATTTTCTAAGAAAATCAAAAGCTACTAATTCTTTCCACCAATATGGCCGGACTAAACATGTGTCCAATTGTGGTTATTTTGCTTTTGGTGAGTTGCGCACTTCCAACGATGGCGCATCTAGATAACTCGCCGGCCGTGGTTGAGTGCAAAAAACATTTCAGCATAAAGTATGCATTCGACGTCTACAACTATATTTTCAAAGGGAAGAAAATTGATGACTTTAGTTGTCGGGCCCTTGTGGCGTTGGGAAGATGGTGCCATAATGTTTTCGTGAACAGCACATTTACTTATGAACACACCGGGAACAGAACTGTCATTCAAGCCAGGGCTGACCGACTATTTAATCATTGTATACTTGTAAATTCCGTGGCACCACCTTCTTCTCTATCTTAAATAGAGAATTTAACATCTCTAGGGCTAACGAATTTGTGGGATGTTTCATGAGCTAGAATAAAATTTCAATGTATTTGCATTAATGCCTTGTTACTACTTCACTTTGTTGCCTTGAGTTGTAAAGCATTTTCAAAATGATTGGGGAATTTACAATAGTAATAACACAACTACCCCGCCAATTTATAAAACTTCATGAAACATCGCAAGTAATAGATATCAGTTTTACATTTGTTCGGCCTTTACCCCTGCATTACGTTTGGTTATTGCAGCTACACTGCATAATGATGTGTAATGCCCATTTAAGTTTTTTTGTCCCATTTCAAGCGTGTACGGAACTATTGTTCGCCATATGGCTACTCGTACGATCGCGATCTTCCTAGTAACAGTCATACGTGTCTTCTTCATCGTTTCCAGGTCCAAGTTGAGAACGATGAAAACTTCGGCACGGCGTATTGCAAAAATTTCTTAATTATTTGTTCTAATATTTAGCCCAATAAACAATCTTTAGTCCGTTCTCATATTGTCAATTAAGTTTGTGGTGAAACTCCAACTTGCTTCACTAACACCCCTAAACTTTTTGTGAGGGATAGTGCTAGAAAGACTAAATTTGTAGACAAAATTTACAAACTAAATGATGTGTCACCAATAGGAATGGCACGCTTAAGTAATAATCTAATTATCAACTTCCATGTAATTTACTTTACAAAATTTAGTCTACAAATTTAGCCTTTTTTATTTTTAGTACATCGATATGTTACACTAAGGGAAGGGGAGTTCGGCTAAGCCGCACTATGGGCAGCCTAATTTAGTATTGAATTTGTCATCCACGAGATTCAAACCTAAAACTTCTCACTTCTAAATGAAAAGGAATACCACTAGACCGTAGTACTGAGTAGTTTTTTCCTGTGAGGGGCTTTTTATTACTTCTCCTTAGAATTACCCTATTGTGAGGGGCTTTTTATTACTTCTCCTTATTTTTATGACAGTTGGCTGCTTGGCTGTTTCTGATTTGGAATAAAGTCACAAAAAATCTTCTCTAACCACTGAAAATAAAACGATTGACCTTATTTACGCACACTGGTCTTCCTTATACTTTTCTAAGCTCATAAGCATGACAATTGACATGAAAATATAAAATAATCAACTTCCATATCATCCTCTAGCTCCCGTCTTCTTTTCTAGCAGATCAAAAAGAGAAGATCATCGATGAGCAACATCACCAAAACTGCATATTGGGTAGTTTTTGTTCTTCTTGTAATAATGGTGGAAGTCAGAGGTCGTTCTTTTGGACTCAATACTCAGGGTACTTCGTCTTCCCAATTGGTTTCAGATGGTATAGATCATGAATATCAAAATGAAAGTACCAGCTCCCTGTTACTTCTCAAAAGAATTGAGAATCGATATTCAACAGAGTCATCGTGCGAGCAGCTTTACGGGTTCTTGCCATGCTCCAACAGTGTTTTTGGGCATGTGTTTCTAATGGTGGTGTATGAATACTTGTTGTTTCATGGTGAATCTTATTTGGCCGCTGGAGGTGAACAGATTTTCAAGATCTTGGGTCCTGGTGTGTTTGGTGCTAGTGCATTTCACGTCATCGGTGCCCTTCCTGAGTCTCTTTTACTTCTTGGTATGTAAATCTTCTTATTCTTCTTAATTTCCATACACAAACACAACTCACAAATTTTTATCATCTTTCTTGTTGTCACAAATCATAGATGATGATCTGCTAAATGTGTTTTACTTGTCTGCTTATTTTGGCTTCCCTTCATATCGAGAAAGACTTTCATGCACTTGTTGCATGAAACGAATGTCCAACATTCACGATCATGTGCTATTGATCACACAACAAAGCAAATGAATTAGATTTAATATATGATTAATGTGCTATGTACATAATTTAATTGAAAATTGTCTTGAATGCCAATCTATCTCATATGTTATATTATTGGATAAGAAAATTGTTATTAGCACTCCAAAAATCTCATTTGGCACTCCAAACTTTCTATAATTAGAAAGAAAAATATACGTATAAGGAGTGTAAAATGAAATTTTTGGAATGCTAATAACAGTTCCCTTGGATAAACATAACTACAGATATCCAAAATTTCTCATAGCCTCTCCGGGCCCATAAATAGTAGATAATCATGACTTGCCAACAATTTTTTTTTCTTTCAAAAAGTAAAAAAAAAAAAAAACATAATTACAGTCTAATTCCTTGAATTTGTTGTTAATGAATATAATTAGAGTACATGGCTGGATGTGATGGATGCCAGCTGTTAATATGGAAGACCTTCTGAATTTAATTTGTAAGTCTTCGAAGTGGACCCGGTATTTATTGGGTGCATGCTTGCTCACCACACTTAATGTTCACCACCTTACTTATTACAATTCATACATTACCATCACTTAACTGTGGTACAAAAGACTTTTTAGCTAAAATGGTCTTTGAGATTTGCACAACTCTTTACTTAGGTTGGCTAATCGTGTTGTAAACAATATACTTAAAAAAAAAAGAATAAAAATCGTAAGAGCAAGACTCAAGAGACCCATTTTAAAGTCAACTTTCGTAGGTATTGATTAGTCAGCATTTGGTGTGATGACAATTGGAAGGGATTGTTTGCGAATTAAGTAAAGGAAATAATTAATAATTAATAATATTTAAGTACTCAGTAATGAATACAGTGTATACTCACTATTTGATTTGACTCAAAATATAGCATGTGTTCTTTGTTTTTAAAACTTAAGAAAAATTAATTAACACACTGATTACATTTTAAAAATTAATTAACACGTCTATTACGTTTTAAATCAATAAAACATATGTTAGGATATCAGCGGGCCAGAGTTAAAACTTGAGTATACAGAGCAACTAAGTACACTAGACCCAAGGATTGTGAATAAATAAAGAATCCAAAGTTCCAAAATTACAAGCCCCAGATTTGAAATAAAACACACATCCACAAATGAGAAAAAAAACTTAAATGTGAAAATGAATCAGATTCAGATATTCCTAGATGAGTAAATTGTAGCAATGGTCCCTGAACTTTACTCAAATTGGAGCAATAGTCCATCAACTAAAAATCCATTACCATTGGTCCCTCAACTTATCAAAATGTATAGCTATAGTCCTTTTCATTAATTTCTTCAAAATTTTGTCAAAATATGTTATGTTGGAATAACCATTTATTTAATTAGGGTCCCTCAACTCATCAAAGTGTGTAATTATGGTCATTTTCGTCAACTACGTAAAAAAATTTGTCAAAACGAGTTATGTTTGAAGGACCATAGCTACAATTGGGATAAAGTTAAGGGACCATTTCTCCAGTTGAATTAAAATTAAGGGACCAAAGGTAATGGATTTTTAGTTAAGGGACTATAGCTGCACGTTTTAATAAGTTGAAGGACCAATGGTAATGGATTTTTAGTTGAAGGATCATTACTCCAATTTGAGTAAAGTTCAGGGACCATAGCTACAATTTACTCTTCCTAGATTCATACCCCAAACCCTCCGAGAGAGAGAGGTGGTGGCCCTCGAGGGGGGGGGGCCCGTGTTGGTTACTGTGGTCAGCGGGACGGGGATGGTTACACTCAGCTGCTTTTTGTTGTCTTTGATTTTCTTATCAATTTTTTTTTCCTTTTATTTGGAGTTAACATGTTAGTTCTAGTCAAGGTCTAAAATATCGATGATTTCGAAAATATCAGTAGTCCAAAAACACGGAAATTTCGATGGAAATATCGGGATATTATCGATATCGATAAAAATTGAATAAAAACCACGGAAATTATAAGAAAAACTTGGAAATTCTTATTGAAACTTTGCAGGATGTTTATTTAGTCAATTATCTATTAGTTTATCACAAAAAATTGGAAGGAAATGCATTGCATGATGGATTTAACTAATTTAAGTTGATTATATAGCTAGCTGGCAAATATTGTGAGTGTATAAAATATGTAGTAATTAATGAAAAAAGTTTAAACACACTATAATCATTTATATATAATGAATTAGTACAATATTTTACACTTTATACATTACATGGTAAGATACATGAGTGACTTAGTACCACACAAAGTTCCTATCAAGGTCTAAAATATCGATGATATCGAAAATATCGGTAGTCCAAAAACACGAATTCGATGAAAATATCGGGATAATATCGATATTTTAGACTTTGGTTCTGGTAAACGAGGTGGACAAATGTCAAAACTTTAAGCAAGAGACGTAGAGGCCATATAGAGTTTTGGGTATAAAAGATTTGAAGCTCGTTGATAACTATTTGTTCATGTTTGTGCATAGATATAGGAAAAATAAAAGATGAAAAAGGGTGATGGGAGGAAGAAGAAATTAAAACAAAATTTTGAAAGTGAAAATAATTTTAGTTTTTATTTGTGTGTTCTTCTTTGTGAAGAAAGTTGATATTTTTTTTCTTTTTCGGAGAAGAAAGTTGATGTTTTACCATAAATCAATTAGAAATATAGAGAGTAGCTAGCCTAATTGCCTATAAGCATGTGCAAGATCCCGTCTTTTTTCAATGTGGGATTCACTCTCAACACACCCCCTCATGTGTGGTGAATTTTAAAGTTTAACACGTGTACAACATAGATTAGGAGACTTGAAGCACATGTGACCGTTAAACTTCACATATGACACAACCTACTCTCATACCGAGAAGAAAGTTGAGGTTGCACCATAAAATTAATTAGCAATTTAGGAAGTAAACCAATTTCTTATAAGCACATGCAAGTTCTCTTATTTTTCCATTGTGGAATTCACTTTCTTTCAACATAGATTTATTCTACATGTCTCGCACCATCCCTCATCCATTATTCTTCATCCCTCGTTTCTCTCATGTATTTCGTTTTTTGTTAGTAACACAAAAATTAAAAATTAAACATCAAAATAAAAAATGACTAATCGTCCTTAAATTATTAATCTCACCACCACACTACTGGATTTAAAAGTTGCAATCAATTAAACTCATTTATTTTCTTTAACTACTTAAATTAATATTATAGAATTATATATTTTTTTAGTACAACTATATATTTTACACTAAAAGTAAGTTAATTTGACCTGTCACTAATTGTCCTCTTTCTAAAAAAACAAAAAAAGTAACACAATTTTTTTTTTTTTTAACAGAAGTTATATTGCATAATTACACCCTTTTATGTAACCCTTCACCTTCTTCACGCAGCTTCTGGGTTTTTTAACTCCAAGGAGATTGCTCAGGAATATGTCTATACTGGAGTTGGGTTGTTGGCTGGATCATCAATTTTGAGCTTAACTATACTATGGGGGACCTGTGTAATAGTCAGTAGCCAAGAGTTTTCAAATAATCTAAGCTCTAAGGCTTCCAATGATTCAAATTCATCCTCTTTTTCTTGGAAAAGACTGTCTGCATCTTTGACAGGTCAGCCTTCAGCCTCCTCACTACCTTAGAGAAGAATGTCCATGGACAACTTGTTATTACATTTTTTTAACTCCTTTGAATCCATATATAGATTGGGGTACTACTACGGATTCAGAGACCAGCTCCCTTGCAAGGATTATGGTTTGTTCAGTAATTCCATTTCTTATCATGCAAATGGCAAAAATCTTTCCATCCTCTTCCGGGGAACGCATTGCAATCTTGACTGCTCTCAGTGTTTCTGTTGTATTCCTGTTATTGTACTTCATTTATCAGGTACGCATTCATGAATATCTCTATGCGTGAACTAATAATATTGTTACTATTATATGTTGATGTCTTTGGAGTATTCATGTAAAATATTTACTTCTAACCTTACAGATCTTCCGGCCATGGGTTCAAAAAAGAAGATTAGAATTTGTGAAACTTGGGCATTTGGTTTCAAGCATTTTACAACATATCCAAAAACATGCACTGGCAAGAGTCCTCACCGTAAAAGGGGCACCAAATATACCTGCTATAAGAAGGTGAGGTCTCGTTGGGTCTTGCCGCGGGTCGATAGTGTTAGAGTCACCAAATTTGCTAATCAAATAATGTCTTGGTCATGTGGAATTGCATAAATAGGGGTACTGTTTGATTGGTCACCAACTAAATATTGCAGGCTGTTTGAGGAAGTAGACGACGATGGTGACAATTACGTATCACCTTCTGAAGTAAGAGAACTACTTTGTGAAATCAAGTTCATATCAACAGAAGACGAGAAGGATAAAGGAACAGAAGAAGTGATGAAACAGTTTGATCTTGATCATGATGGGAAAATTAATAAAGACGAATTCATCAATGGCTTGGATCAAGTCAGCGCATAAACAAAATACCGAAAGATCGTTGGAGAACATATATGAGGTAACTCATCTACCTCCAAGTTGGCCTCCTTTTTCATTTCTTCTTTCGACACACCTTGAAACGAGGCCTATATATCATGCTTGCCCAGATTATGGTTAGAACTTTAATGAAATGCAGTATGTGAAGAAGATCATTTGCCTTTTTCATATTAATTTACTCAATAATTTATATCTGATGAGCAGGTCTTTCAACCTTGGATTATAAATAGAAGAAGAGAACGAGAAATAAAGAAGAATTTATTGTCAGAAGTACTAAGACATGTCCAAATCAATTCACTCGGGAGCATTGTCACAAATGACGGCAGGCCTGATATACCCAATATTAGAAGGTTCGAACTACATTTCGTCTAATAAAGAGTAACAGTACCCTTTTATAAAGGGTACCATAGATTAATTCGTTGGTTGCTATGTATACATTTATATTCTTGTGGCGTCATAGAATATTGTGTTGAGTCTCATATTGGCTATATAAAAAGAGAAATAATAGTTTAAATATTTTAATCTCACTCTAACTAACACCGAAGTCTTTTGTGATAAAACTTCACACTTGACGGATTGTACAGGTGGTAATTACCAAGTTGAGGACGGTATGTTGTTGGAAGTGGGTCATTGGCCCGTCTCTCTAATTTTACATGGTATCAGAGTTAGGAAGAGGGCCCGTACGTACTGCCACCTGATGGGTGGGTCCCTTGGCCCCGCATGTAGGATAAGTCTCCTTGGCTCCACGTGGTTGCCAAGGTGTGGACTTTCCATATGTGACCCACTAATCGAATCCCACATTGGCTATAGAAAAAGAGAAATAATAGTTTAAATATTCTAACCCCACTCTATTTGTGTCCTAAAATTAAATCAGGTCATGTACAACCCATGCACAAACCCGGTGCGCAGGAGAGAAAATCTGTTAATCTTTTTGCTGTCTCATTGAGCCTACTGACCACTTTCTTCAACATGGAAAAACAGGTTGTTTGAAAAGATTGATCTTGATGGAAATAATTTTATATCCCAATCAGAATTGAGAAAACTGATTGGGGATAACAAGTTTGGTAAAATTCCTAGAAACGTGGATGAATCAGTTGTAAAACTGATAGAAGAACTTGACACAAGTGGAGACCAGTTGATTAGCGAGGAAGAATTTGTTACTGGATTAACAAAATGGATAAACAAATCCAACGATCAAGCTCCTCCTTCACTTGAATCTGAGGACGATATCTACCAAGAAAGTAACTCTGAGAACTATATAAGGGAAAGGAATTGAAATGAACACTGCTGAGCTTCTTATCCTATAAGAAACTCATTTCTCCTTATATGCAAATTGTTCGTCTGACAGATATATAGAAATCACTCTCGTTAAAGATACAAAAAGAAAAGTTTGATGCACACGGATCAAACTATAGTTTACATGATTACATATGTTAAGCTTAATTTTTTTAAATGATCGTGTAGAGAACTTGGGAAGAAACAGATAAGTTGGTGGATGAAGAGAAAAGCAGTGGTGGAGCTATTGACGAGTCAATATGGGCTTGGGTGAAAGCTATAACATATTTGGTTCTAGGGTTTGTTGTATTGGCAGTTTTAGCAGAACCTCTTATAGATAGTGTTCAGAATTTGTCCACAGCTGCAAGCATCCCTTCTTTCCTTGTAGCATTTGTGCTAGTCCCCTTGGCAACTAATGCCAGACAAGCTACTTCAGCAATTAAGGCAGCTGCAAAAAAAACTCCAAGAACCACATCTTTGACATTTTCTGAGGTTTGTCTTTGTGCCTAATTTTTTTATTTTTTCTTTCATTTTCAATTATATGAAACCTAATATATATATATTTTTCATGTTTTATGTGGAACATATTTATTTGGATGCAGATTTATGGTGGGGTGTTTATGAACAATCTTCTGGGATTTTCTGTGCTGCTAGCTATAATTTATGCTCGTGAAATAACCTGAGATTTTTCTGCTGAAGTTTTGGTAGTTCTAATTACCTGCACTGTAATGGGTCTCATTGCAAGCTTTGTCTCCACCCTTTCCCTTTGGACATCATTCTTGGCTTACCTTCTATACCCAATTTCATTGCTTTTAGTCTATATTCTCAATGATGTTGTGAAGTATACTTGAATTAAGTCCAAGGATGTAGTATTTTTGCAAATTTTTGGAATTAACTCTTTTTAAAGGCCATAATTTTACCATTTTTTGGTAGATTGGATTTGAAGCGATGCACTAATAATGTGAAACTTTTGGTAGAAATAAAATTCTAAGTATATATTTCTTTTTCCTTTATAAGATTAGGGTTTCATGTCTTTACGGGGATGAAAAATATGGGACGGAGCCAACATGGGGTCATTAGATACTCATACATACCCCCAATTGCTTTTATAATCCCTTGGTATATTTGTATGTGACTCATATATATATATATATATATATATATATATATATATATATATATATATATATGCGAAATTAAAATAATGAGTCAAAAACACTAAATTACAACTTGTTATTTCTTTTGTGCAACCTATGTAATTCCTTTAATTCTTCTATACAAATTTTTTTTAGTAATGTTAGGGAGACTAAATTTACAAACTAAATTATGTGTCACCAATAGGAATAAGCACATTTATCAATATTTAAGTAATAAATCAATCATCAATTTTCATATCTTTTAGTTTCCAAAACATTATCTACAAATTTAATCTCCCTATCATTACCCATAATTTTTTAGTTTTTCAAAGGTTCAGCCTATTCGATATGTAAGACTATTTAGTTGGTATATCTTTATTCCATGCATGTTTCTAGCTTCTTGTACGGTTCAAGGGTGGACTGATTCTAAAACCAAAACCAAAATTCTCGCTCAGTTTGTCATGGTTCGGTTTTGTCAATGTTAAGTTTTGATACCAAACCGATCCCATTCCGATCAGTTTTGGTGCGGTTTCGGTACCGTCCGATATCAAACAATTGTCAAATAAGAAGTTTGCTACTAATAAGGGTGGGTGCAGACCGATTTGATTCAGTTTTGACACCAAAAATAGAACGAAACAAACAAGCATTCAATGGTTTGGTTTGGTTCGGTTTTGATCAATACCACCATTCAAACCGAACCAAACTAAATCATTATTCGGTTTCATTCAGTTTGGTTTGATCGGTTTAAGCCTCTTCAACACATTTTTTGAAAAACGTTCAACATTTTAAGAGTTTTAATCTTCTAAACGTTCACACATCTAACGCATTCCAATTCACTCGAAAGATTAAGTTTTTCGGAACATAAAGAGTTCATCAAGTCAAATAAAAATAAGTTTCCATGAAATAAAATTTCATCCTAACAAATGATTTATTAGTTAGAACCTCACATAAGCATTTGGGAGAGAAATAAGTTCCCCGATTTATGGGCGGTTTAGTGTTCACTTTCTCTCCCCCTTCCCACTTTGGCTAGAGATTTGTCATTGCCACCAAGCAATATATTTCATTGGCCAATGCATGCATGTTTACTGTAATTTATTTACACTAATATATAGTCACTTACCATTTGGGGATGTATCGACGAAACTTCTTGCGTTGTTTATCGATGTTGGAGGTGGGGGCTGATGATCGGAACCACCAAGGCTGCCCTTGAGGGCAACCAAAACAGGGGCCGCCTAGGGCGCCCCAAAAAAAAATATATTATGTTGGTAAGTGTAAAAACGCAACTATAGTTCATGATATTCACGTTTGGACTTGAATAGTTTGTGATATCCTACATACATATTATCATGACGTTTAATAAAGCATTTTCTAATTAATTATTCTTTTTCATAAATCTTTGAAGATTCCACTTATATTAGGAATTGGGCTTGGCCTCTTCTGTCTATGGTAAATGGACCTTGAGCCCTCTTATTATTTTCGTTTCTGTCAGTCGACCCAGTCACTACCTCAGACGCTCTTCACCTTCACGGCAATCACAAGCACCTCCAGAAGCTCTGCAACTTCACAAACGCCCCCAAATTTACTCTCATTCCAAAGCTTCAAACTTTTCAGTGAGTTACTCTTCCGTTTCTCCAGAAATTTGAATCAATTTGTGTCCCTTCCACCACTGAAAATTGGTTTTAATTTTGTGATTGTGGATTTTTCTCTGTAATTTTTGTTCTTTTGTGCAAAATTTTGATGTGGGCAAGGCATTCATGTATTATATTTATTTTTGTCATTTAGGGTTTAGGGTTTAGGATGAAAATCTAGCTGTGTGGATTTTCTTCTTTATTTACTAGGTGCCGGTAACTGATCAATTTCGCGAAAGTACAGCGATTTAGAGAGGAAAAAAAAAATCGACTTGTGGATCATTACAATACTGAGGAGTTGAATATACTGGTTTTCGGTAAGATGGATTAATTGCATTATTGTGCTTCAACTGGGTTGTTTTTCTTGAAATTACTTCATCTGGTCATGTCCTTAGCGATGTTGTTGTGCTAAGAGTTGGCCAAAGAAATGTCTACTTTACATGAATATCTAGGCCTACCAATGGAACCTGAGAGAGAGGCATGTAATGTCAGCGAGTTGCATTGTGTTTTTCAAGTGCAGAGGAACCTGTAGCCTTGAAGCTGAAGCAGTTTTCCTTGCACTCTGCATTGGATTCTAAAACCAACTGTAAGAGTAATATTTATAGTTGGAACATTTTGTTTAAAGGGAAAACAGAATGTTCATATGCAGTGGCGGATGCATTGAGGGGCAGGGGGTCAGCTGACCTCTCGAAATTCGGTGGACGAATATGGATACCTTAGATGCTGATCCTCCGAACTTTAGTGCATGTCCATGGATACTTGCGGTGCTGCCCTTTTGAAGATTAGAGTTAGCTTCATACATGCTCTCCAACTGTTTGATAAAATGTCTGAAAGAAGAGTGAATGAAATGGTGATCTCAGTGAATAACAAAGCATCATCATTCTTGGACAAATATATTAATGAGATGCAATGATTGAACATTGTTAGTGTGTTCAAGATAAGTGTGTTTCTTTGTTAAGCATTCATATATATGGAAGCACATGTTAGTTACCTTTGCAAATGAGGCATTAATAGGTGTACAGTATGCCTTTCCAAATGACTTCAAGCCTATCAAGACTCGATGAAATGACGATATGCATGCTATTTCTGGTAAAAAAAATTTGTGCGTTGCGCGCTATTCTTTCTGACCCCCTTAATATTATTTCCTGGATCCGTCACTGTTCATATGTTTTTGTAGGTGTTGATACACAAAATCAGTGAGGACTTTGATACAACAGAAAGTGTTAAGTTTGTGACATTTTCTAGATTACTCCGGTTACTAGTGTGAATAAGTATGTAAATGGATAAAGACAAGAAAGCAAACACAAGATGTATGTGGTTCACCCAGATTGGCTACGTCCACGGAGTAGAGTAGTTCTCATTAATTGTGAAAGGTTTATACAAGTACATAGGTTCAAGCTCTCCTTTAGTGAGTACCAGTGAATGATTTAGTACAAATGACATTAGGAAATATTGTGAGAGAATGATCTCTATTTATAGAAGAGAGTTTCTAGTTTCATTCTAACATTGACACGTGTCGTATTGTGATTGGCTTCTGATGTCGACACGTGTTGCGCTGTGATTGGCCTCCTGGTTGGAGGGAAACTTTTCTGGGTCCTTGACGGTATAACGTTAACCGGTGCTCAGTCATTTCGGAATTTGTCAAGTATGGTACAAACAGTAGGTGATGGCAATAATGTTTTGAACATATTGAGGAAAACAAAAATGCCTGATGATCACTCCAGCATTCTTGTAGCAATCTTTCCTGTTACTGTTTGTGTCTCAGATGATATGAGTCCGCTTGGTTATGGTCTCATGTCAGGAATGGATTACAGTAAATGTTGGACTAATGCTTGCACGTTTGGTCTGTGGCCTTTTGTTTATGTGTGGGATTAATAAATTTTGCTCTAGAACTTCTGGTATAGGAATTTTGTTGCTATTGATATTGTCTCTACCTATATGCAATTCAAGGATTGTCTCGTGATGATCTGAATTTTTCGACTTTTGTTATTATGCATAATAACATAACCTCATTCGTTAAGTCAAAGTGACCTGTAGATTTTACAAAGTAATGTGTAAACTGACATTGCAATGATGACTAAATGATTATCTAAGTTCATCATATTTTCCTTTTTCTATTAGGCTGCTGAAGAAGAAGTTGACCCCTGCATTTGTGATGGTGGAAGTGTGGTGGTCCCTCTTAGCTGCTATCCCTGCAGTGGTTGCAGGACAAGCATTTCGAGTGAAGAAAAGGCATGCCGAAGAGCAGAGATTAAAGAGCGCTAGAGGAAGGGAGAAGAGTTCTGATGAGATTTTTGTCTGCGAAAGGGTATGCACGTCGAAGAGAATGCTGAAAAAGGTTGGTGCATTCTCAAAGGACCCAATTCCTGATACTTGTGTTACTGTCTGCGGTGTATCTGAGCTTGATGCGTGTGCTGATGCTTGCGCACGCACTGTCTGTGTAAACCAACATCAAGTACCCAACTGGAATGACATCTGCCTTCGGAGATGCCAGAGTGAGTGCTTGAAACTCTCTTCTTCAAGTTCTCTTTAAATGCGAAAACATGTATTACAAAACGAGTTGTTAGCGTTAGTTAGTCCGATTTTGTGACTTAAATATCGATTTTAGGGTCGCAAGGATGAACTAGATTATCGTATTCTCCTTTGATGTTAAAAAATTTCTGTCTACCTAAAATTCATTTCCGATCACTAATAAAATTGAACCAAATGATCACTCAAGTAAAACAAGAAACCTGTTTTGTTTTTTAAAGAAAAAGAGTGATAGTCAATCATCAGTGTTAATTGCACAAAGTTTGCTAATCATGATACTTTTCTTTGCTTTCTTTTGGGCGTTGAACTTGTTGGACAATACAGGCATATCTTGAGTCATTTCTTCTTCAACGATGATGTGACGTTATTTACTGCATAAATGTCGGAATTAGAACCGGTTATTCTCTTTATTTTCTAAAATTCATCCCTATTCAATTTGGAGACCGTTTAGCTGTCTTTATGATAAAAACGAAAGAACAATACAATTATAACGTTTGTAAAGTAAAATTAATGAATTTTTCTAGTATATCAGTCCATAATCATTGATGTCATTCGTAAAAGCAGGCAGAATTGTCTGTTAATTTTCCAATTAATCAAAAAATGAATGTTATGAGAATCTAATTAAGAACCATGTAACAAAGCCAAACCTTTCATTAATTAGTCGAAGAATAAGATATGAAATATAAAAATATGATACGATGAAGACAGTGGAGATGCTTGGATCGGATCGGATCGGTTCATATTCTTTTAAAATTAATTTTTTGCAAAGAGGGAGGGCGTAATGCCTCCACGTAGCCTTTCAAGTGGAAGTAGGTTGGCATATTGCATGCCGACAATGGCATATTGCATGCCGACAAAGAGATCAAATTAATTTTAACGAACAAACAATGCATTCTCGCCTGGAATTGTATAAGAAATTGAAGATTTTGATTAAAAAAAATTCTACATAAAAAAAAATAAAACGGACATTGAAAGGTTACGAATAGTTCAAGGGTTTTTGCTCTATTGAAATTGTCCAGATATTGTAGAGACAAATTGTATTTGTATTAAGAAAATAATTTTCACACTTTTTATCTCCATTCACGTTTTTTTTTCTTTCTCTTTTGTCGTTAAAATTGAATAAACCAAAAGGACTTTTAGATTTTAGAGCTTTAATAAGATTGTTTTTAGATTTTAACCTGAATGGTTTTCAAAATCTAATATAAGTTCCTATTTTTAAAACTTACCATATTTAAGTAATTATAGCACATTTATTATTTATAAACTTACCATTCAAAATTCTTTACCCATCCATAATTAATTTTTTTTTTTAGGTGCTCCAATTATATTAAAATATAAAAATTTATTCAAAATTCAACTTCTTATTATGAAAAAAATTCTACAACAAAACAAAAACAATTTATACATAACTTTCGGTTCTTTATTTTATTCATAGGTACGAAAGCATCAGTACAAATGTACCAGTACATAACTTTGGGTACCTTATTTTACTCATAGGTACATAAGTATATGTTCGTAAGTTTCGGTACGAATGTATCGGTACATAATTTTCAATGTGAATGTATTGGTACAAATGCATCGATACATACCTATAGTATCTAAACATACGTATGTACGTAATATGCATATATGCAAAAAAAAATATATACATATATATGAACAAATTCACACACGATGAAAAATATATAATAATATATGATTTTTCTTATTATGGGAACTTAATAATAACTATCAATGATAAATAACATTTTTATTATTGATGAGAATCAATATATAACCTACAAACAAAAACTCAATAATTATTACAACTTATTTAATATTAAAAATTACAATTAAATGCTAAGGATTATAATTAGTTTTTAATCTTGTAGACAAGGTTTTATTCAATAAGTAATCTTAGACAAAGATTAGAATAAAATTTTCCGCAAACTAAATAATAAAGGGTTAGAAACTAAGGCTGCCAGGTAGATCTGAGTGATGCCAAAGCTTACTAATCCAGGCACAAAGTATGTGGCTTGCACTCTAAAACCCCCACAATCATTGTTGCTGGTCTTGAACAGAGGTTTTGCCAACATAAATAAATAAATAAAAAGACCGACGCCAGGCATGGCGTCAGCTTGACGTCACACCCCTCGGGCTGAAGGGCTGGCAATCCCTCACGAGCCTGGCCCTCGGGCTCTTACCCTCACTCGGGCTGCCCAACGCTGGAGCCGAACCCACCAGCCCTCCGGCCCTTTCCTCTCGCATGTCCCCCGAGCAAGGTCCAACGGTGGACTTGCTCTTACCATTTATTATTATATATATATTTTTTAAGTACCATTACACTATTTTTAGGTTAACTTTGATAAGAATTGAGGAAATGAAAAGAAGAAACAGGGGGAGAAAAGGGGGGAAAAAGAAGAAGGGCTATTGGCTGCCCAATAAAAGAGGAAGGGAGAGAAAGTGAAGGTGACCAATCAAAGGAATGAAAGGAAAAGAAAGGAGGGAGAAAAGAAAAATGGGGGAAACCAGGTTTCCCTTAACCCGTCACCCAACCCGGTGAATTCTCCCATCTCCGGCCACCTTGGACGACAAGGTTAATGTCAAAATGACCCTTACCACGAGACCAACCGATCCCTCTTCCATTTTCATGTGAAAATTGGGTGGAAATTGGTTAATTTTGGGTAAAACTGTACAAAAAGGGGCGCACGGGTTGGGTTCTATTCCGCCACGATTTGAAGCTACCTCTTCCAACTACCACCACCAATAGACTCCCCTCAACCTCAGGAACAAAGACCAAACACTTGTGGAGGCGTCAGAGTGAGCATGGAGGTCGAATCGAAGCACACCCTTTTTAAGGTTTCCGACGGATTTATGTAAAATTGAGGTGTTTCTCGACCAAATTGGCCTTGGTCACAGGTGTGAAACTTACTCTATTCATTGAGATCTTCATTTTTGTAAATTGTGGTAATTTTTGGAAATAGTTGGATTTTCTGGCGAGTCGGGACGGCAGACCGCCACCCGCGGCGGCGCGTTGCCAAGGGACTGTAGATGTCATCCTTAGGCTAAATTAGATGTCTTGAGTTCAGTTTTGGCAATTGTATATCGTAGGTTGATCGTTTGGACCTAAACTCATTAGGATACGTTACTTGGTAAATATATGAATCGATGATCCAACTGTTGGATCGTCACCAAAATTTAGTATGTTATAGTACGTAATATTTGAGGACCATAGGAGCTTACGGATTGGGAATCCAATCTACGAATCTTCCCGAATTGGATTTGTAAGTTCATAAAATAAACGTTAACCTCCACCTTGTTTTGACTATTGGTGGAGATCCAACCGTTGGATCATAATGAAATTTTAGGATGATGTTTTATAAGCATAATGTGTATCTTTGGAAGTTACGGATCGGAAATCCGAGGAACGGATCTTCCTGAGTGAATTACGTAGGGTTGTGGACCTTACCGTCGATCGTTGACCGACAATCGACTTTTGGTCAATGGGGCTTAAATCACTCTAAAACGTTTTAGGGATGTGTTTTACGTAAATTACATGACCTATTGATAAGAATTCTGAGATGTGGTTTGATCATTGTCCTAGGCACCGATCGTTCGAGACGCCTCGATGGTTGTGCTAGGAAATTATAGCACAGACTCCAGGTGAGTGGTTTTTTTTTTAAGGGTAAAATATTATAATATTTTAAATGAATAAAAAATTATTTTTTTTACCATGTGGCACACATTTGGCAGCCACGTGGCACAATTGTGGCAGCCACGCCAGCTTTTAACGGATCAATAGATGGAAAATGTAACGGATGTACTATATTGAAATAAAATAGTAGTTAAAGTATGAAAGTGAAATGTTTTGAAGATGTTGTATGCGATTGTAATAAACTCCAAACTTGAGGAGTACAGTGTAATTTACCCAAATTAATTTGTAAATATGGTCTAACAATTTAATCTATCAATAGTTATTAGTAAACTGTTGACCTTAAATTTTTCGAAACTTTGACAAGTTATCAGACCAGGTTGATTGCTTTTGAAATTTAATGTACGTATGGTCCCGCGTGTTGCCAAGTACAAAACTCCCACGTAATGCAATTAATTAGGCATGCTAGCAGGAATGCTTGGAATCTTTACTGTATGACAACACTTTTGAGAATGCCTCTTGAAAAAATCCTCAGGTGACAACACTTTATCAGAAACATAATTTTTGTCAACAAAGTATAACTTTTAATCACTAAACATTTCTATTTTTTATGTCAAACGTCGACAGAACTTGACAATTTAAAAGCAATTTCAATTCTTTTGTTTGTAAGAGAAAAAAAATTTGAATTTAAAAAATGTGAAGTTCGATATCAGTATATTCTCTCATTTCTTAATATAAAATACATAGTTGTATAAAAATGAAAAATAAACCCAAACCCCTAAACTTTAAGGAAAACTAATGATAAGGGTTTGAAAACTTTAAATTTTAACCAAAATGACAAAAATGTGTTATTATCGAATAGTACCAGAAGTGACTTTTTACAGTAAAAACGTTCTTACCGTTAAACATGAACAGTACCATGAATGTTTCGTTAAAACTCTCGGACGACCCAAACATAGAAAGATTGAACGAGTCATAAGTAGTGACAAATCTTTCAACGAAATTTCTACCAAATAAAATAAGAGTGTTGATATTCCCATTTCTATGACTGAATAAAAATGTAGAAAACTGACGTGCAAAAATTATTTCCTTATGTATTATTGTTCTTGTAGAAAACTGTTGTAGATCTTTTGGCTGTAGTTTTTGAGAAGATGTTACTTTTTTAAAGCATTTGAAATTTAATTAGCTCAAGTGTTATGTATTCCAAGGCATATCTCTAAGAAAGATGTTTGCCAAATGATCTATCATTCAACACAAGTTGGCTAGCCACCACCACTGACAAACAGTCCATTCCCACCCAGAAGTACAAATGTAGTTGAGAAGATAGTTCAATGTGACATTTTTATATTATTATTACTTTTGCCGTATATTTCTTAATTTACAATATTAACCAAAATTTCAACAAAAATTGTTACGATCTATTCTGGAAATTATTCATTTTTAATTTGCAAATGTATAAAATGACCCAAATGGCCCTCAAAGGGGAAGGTTCGAGAG